GCAACTTACAAAGCATCTTGTACCCTGAAGGACTTCAGTATGTTTTTCCCCAGAAAGAAAAACAGAGAAAAAATGACGTTGCAACATTTTGCCACTGGTAGGCTTTCTTGGAGTTAGTCGCAATGTGTGAGAGATCCGAGACAGGTCACGTGCAGGCCAGGGAAAGCGTGCTAAGATGTAGTCTTATATAGACGTGGCTGTGCCTGAGCACATTGTAATCACTAAGCATTTGGTGAAATCGATACGGAAGAGAAAAATGATGGGCGTGAAACATCAATGAACTGCAGACAGTGCATGTTAGTGCATGTTATCGTTTACGTGAATACCAGCTAGTAGAAGTGTATTGATAATCGTAGCAATATCTTTATCGCCGCCGAAGTACTGCTGAGACCTTTAGCGCCTTGCGCTATGAGGCAATGGCAGCTTTGAGGAGGTTACAAGGAGCATTGATTCTCATGATGCAACAATCTTTTTGATGTATGGAATTCTTCTGATCTGCAGGATCAATGCCCCGTCATCGATTCAAATGATGGTGACGGAGTTTGCTGCATAAAGTTGGTTTAGGTCAGTTTTTTGGAGCTCTGGTCTGCTTCGAACCATTGAAGCTCATGGTCAGAGTGGAAATTAGAGGGATTCTGCAGATAGCATTCTTAGCATTAAACCACCTGCATGCGGAAGATTCACATCGCTGTCACGAAGCGAAAAAGTCACCGGAATCGAGGTGTCGAGTCAATTGAAACTATGGTTTATGGTTTGCTTTTGTGCTGTGTTTTGCGCATGTATATCGAGTTTGAATTGAAACCATTCCCAGATCTGCGGTTCAAGACGATGTTTTGCAACCGTTCATCGCTGTGAGCTGCCTTTGAGCAGGCCGGACCATTTTCAGTCCTGTGAGTACTGTTGCCAGACATACAGACATGCAGACATGCAGACACAGACATCACTCGCAGGTGAGAATGGTGGTGAGCTAAGCTCTTTTTACGCATCCCAACATTTCGAGGGCGGGTCTGTACGGTTTGCACTGAACGTCGATGTCTAGGCTTCGCTATGGGCAGGGCGTGCAGGGAAGGCCATCTTAACAGAAGGGAACAACAGATGAGCGGACAGAACAGACAGAACCACGTTTTGAAATTTGCCCATGGCTCGAGTCTCGCCTGTCAGGAGACGGGAGCCCACTTTCAATTTATACATCACGTCCATGCATCTGACAGGCCAGAAATGGTAAAACACACATGCAGAACCGTGAATCACCGATGTGGTTTGTGAAGATCTGTGAAGATCTGAGGAGAGAGCAGCGAGCTGTTCAGCTCTCCCAGGCGCGGGCAACCTCATCGAGTTGATTTCTGACCGTCTCTGTTGGATTCTGCAGACCTGTATTCGACTTGGTCCATCTTGGTGATTTATTGCATGTGTCAGCTCCATGCTGATGCTGCTGGTGCTCCAACTGGCAGCAAGTACGAGGCATGGTGGAGGGAACTCTGAAAGAGGTCAGGTCAAAATCAGGGACAGATTCGCCGGATTTCTTCTGCAGGTTGTGCAGAAGGGAGATGCTTCATGCACGCGGCACACGCAACCATTTGCCAACCACAGCAAAGAATGGCGAGAAAGTCTGAAACTCAGCTGCCTTGTCTTGTGAGAGCAGAGCATCACTTTCCATTTGGTGTAATAAACATCCACTCCATCAGGCACACATCACCTGTCTGAGCCCTCCAAAAATAGATGAAATTGAGAAAATGTATGCCAATCACCTTTGGCCAAAGGCTCATTGTGTTGAGACATAGAACGGCATCGTGCCCGTTGATGTTGCTTCAGCGCAGTCGCCAAATCTGCAGTCCTGCGATAGCAAAACAATGGGTAGTATCACAAGCTGCCTGGACTAAATTGGTCAAGGCCAAGTGGAAAAGGGAGCCTGCATCCTTTGCATCCTTTGCATCCTTTGAGAACATGATTTTGCATTTCAGCCGGTACACTTCAGCTTGGTGGCATACAAAAACTCAGTCGCACTTTAGCCTCTCTTTGGGGGTTTGTTGGATTTCCGCCGCCACACAAGTTCAAACTAGTGGTTCTCTGGATCTTTTGCGTTGGTACAGGACTCAGAAAATTGATGGAAATTGCTCTGATTTGCTCTTCCTCAAGCTTGAAGAATTTTTTCTTTCAGCAACCTGTCTCAAGGCCCCCACAATGCAGCTGACTTCTACCAGGAGACAATTCTTGAGGTGTCTTTTCTAGTCTGCCTACTTGCATGTGTTTCTATGTTGTCTCAGCTGTCTTTATGCTTCAATCAAGAGTTGTCTTCAGGCATTGCAACAAATTCCCGCAGCTTTGCCTATTCTGCCTTACCAGGCTGTTTGTCGGCACCTTTGCCCTTGTTCTGCTTTGCCGGCGGCCTTTTGATGGTCGGGGGCTAGGGAATAGGGACTCCCAAACGCTTAGAGTATTGTCGCAAGTTGCCTCTTGCCGTTTGCTGCTTGACCTTGCTGCAAGATACTCGTACTCTGGAGACTCACATATTTGTGTTGCGTTTGTTGCATTTGCATCCTTTGTGTTCTTAGTTTGTGTTTTTGTTTGTGCTTCTCCCAGTAGACCTAGCCTTTGTCAAAGCTGCTCAGCGGGTCAGGTGGTGAGGCATTTGTTCCCATGACAGGCGCTTTCACTGAGATTCTGCAGTTCTCTGCAGCTCCGAAAAACTGGTGCTGCCAGAGTGGAAAACCTGCGCCAGGCAACCATGAAAGCATGAGCCGAAGAGGGCTACTTGGCGCAGCATTGCCTGCAGTACTGGGTTTGGGGCCAAGATTCCGGCCACATCAGAATTGGAGCAGCGAGATGGAACTGGTAGAGGAATATTTCTGGAATCGCAGACTTGTCTTTGGTATCAAATTGATTGTAATCAATTTATGATTCGCATTTTTGATAATTTTCAACCTTTTTTTCTCTCAATTTTGAGGATGAGGATGAGGATCGGGATGAGGATGATGAGGATGATGAGGATGATGAGGATGATGAGGATGATGGGGATGATGAGGATGATGAGGATGATGAGGATGATGAGGATGATGAGGATGATGAGGAAGATGGGGACGACGAAGACGACGCCGAAGACGACGACAAACTAGATGCCCCTCATGGATTTGTCCTCATGACGACGTTGGTCACACTGATAGTGTTGGGTTTGATATAGTGATGATTTTGAAAGCACTCACAGAGATGAAAAGTTGCAAAGGGCCATGATGCCTCCGTTTTATTTTTTTGGTTCGTTGTTCTGACACTTCGTTTTGCAGTGCCAATCAAGCTGCATGCTTAGGCGGCCCTGGAGCAGCGTCTGCAATGACTCAGGGAATCACGGATGTGGTTGAGTACATGAACAGGCCCAGCAGCTTCCGACAGCACATTTTTCCTGGAGTGACAGTGGCAAACATGGTTGGTGGATGTGCGAATGCGAGGCGCAAGAGGGAGCTTGTTCCGTACATGAAGCAGGTCAACAATCCGCATTGGCACTTTGTGAAATGTGAGCCAAGCTTGATCCCCGGATCGTCCACAATGGAAATTGGCTGCAGGGTATTGACTACTTGGAATCCCATGAGATTGATGAGAGGTGCACTGACTGGTTATTTCTCGCGTGTCTAGAAATGACCGGTTGGATCTTGCATTGTGAAAAGATCTTTGATTTGAAACTGCAAATACTTTCGCGTCTCTAGCTACCCCTTCCACACTCAGTCTCGGCTGACTCATGGTAACCTTGCATTGCAGACATCAGATATTTTTGGGATCCTTTGCTTGAGGGAAAACAGCACTTCAAATTCAAGCCGCAGAAAAGCATGTATATATATATATGTTATAAGTTATATATATATATATATTATATGATATGTATATATATATATAATGTAACTCAACGTGTTGATGGAATATAATTTTGAGTAAAGATGTTGCTTTTTGACACTATCTTTATAGGGTCAAAGAACATGACACAATTTTGAAACTTACCGTGTTGAGTGACACACTCATGGGTCACGTGGACAGTGGGCTCAAGTGAGCCCCACAACACAAGTTACTGAGTTTTTCGTAGCCATTTTGGCTCAAGTGGGCTCAAGTGAGCCCCACAACACAAGTTACTGAGATTTTCGATCCATTACTGCCATAGAGTCCTTTTGCCGTTCACTGGGTTCCGGGTGTATGCAACATCGTGGCTCCATTGTGTACCACGATCTGGTTCGGACCTCATCGACTTCGTCCTGTACCTTCTTGACAGTTGCATTTGTAACGGGCTTCTTGTCTCTGGCCTTTCTGTTGGAATTTGGCATCAACATGGCTGAAGAGGACAACAGGGTCCTCGACCCGCCGTTGCAACCTGACTCTGGCTCGGAGTCTGATGACTTCCACGGTCCACCTCCAACCCCGCGGACAGGCGTTGTCTTGAATGTTTTGATGAATTTAACTCTCAAACAGTTTCTTATGCAATTCCTCCATTTAGACAGCAATGTGCCGGACTTGTGCGAGTGCTCAACAACTACATACCTATTGACCTAAGATCTACCATGGCCGCACTGGAATGGCCGCGACGGCTTTATGTTCAAGTTGCCAGCTACACCGAGTTCCAACGTTGTGTAGCCCAGTTTGGGTTGTTAGAACACGCCCCGGTTCTTACACTGGATCAGCAACGTGCCCAGGGAACCTTCCCAGTGCGCATGTAGCTACACTTTGTCTCTGTTTTTCGAGCCGTAGAACAGTATGAGCATTTGGTCACCGCCCAGTCCGTGGTGATCTCGCGACTGGAGGATAGGATCTCCCGTCTTGAACGCTCAGTTGCCAATGGTGAGCCATTGACTCTCACCCCGCGCCTCCCACCTGAATGCTCAGTTTGGTTTCAAGATTCTCCCAGCACTCAGCCAGAACCATCCGCTGCCACAGACGCAGATTGAGATCTTACGTCGAGAAAAGCTGTATTCTTTTTGGGGGTTTGCGCACAGCTTTTGATGTCTGTCAAGATGATTGCAATGTTTTTCAAGGAGACAGTAAATTGCCTTTTGGATGAGAAACTCAGAATTTTTATACACATGAAAGCAGAAATTTGACACCACTTGTGTCGCCCAGTCCGTTGTTTGGTTTCCCATTCTCAAGCGGCTTGACAGCTGCGCATTCGAGGGGTTTTGAGGCCAGGTTGTCAGATGTGCTCTCACGTCAAAATTTGAGTATCAGTCTGTAGGGCTTTCTTGCCTTTCTTGTTAGACTCGTCGTTGCCAGGTGGCACGAACTTTTCCTTTCATTTCGTTGGAAACTCAGACTCTTCTCGAGTGAGAAAGTTTGAATCCCCGAGTGGGGGTGGGAACTGGACTATCCAGCCAATGGGCTCAGGCCTTGGTGACATGTGTCTCCCACTCAGTCTATTGAGTATGGCAGGTGCCAAAGTGAGAGTGCATTGATGTGGATTCATGATAAGGGGAGCATGCCACCATTCAGGTGATTCGGTGGAGTGATAGCCTTGACCTCAAGTTTTTATCCATCACAGGTGTGATTTCATGTTTGGGCGAGTGCCATACTTCTTGTCACAGATGGTCATGTACATTGCACGAGTGTGCCACGATTGATACATGACTTGTGACCGAGTGGCTCTCCGTCCTAGAAGGCCCGACGAAGGAGGGTCTTACTTGTGGAGGAGACAACGAGGAACCCAGGTAGTCGATTCCTCAGATGACACCACCATGTTGGTGCGAACATTGGTTGGCAGGAAGTGCATGCCCATCTTCTTTTCTGGAGCCTTTTAAGTTAGGCTGTCGAATAGTATATTCTTTACTTCAGGCGTGACATCTCCTGACCAGTGCCATCCTTTGTTGAAATGCAGAGACTGCTTGAGATATTGCATCCATGAGATTTGACTTGCAAGATACAATATGGCAGTGATGAGACATGCTTAGTCTGGTGAAATTGTCTTTTGGCTTTCCTTGCAATAGGTGCTCGCGCGATGACTCTAAACGGGCAGGTAGGTGGATCGAGTGCCAATTTGGCACATTCAGCCGAGAGACGTGACCTGCCAATCGGCCCGAATATTGGCACACTTGCTGTGCTCTTGGCCACCATCCTCACCGATGGGGGAGAGTGGCTAAGGGTGGTCTCGAAAGCCGAGGCTTGTCTACATGAAATTTTTCGGCTTATTGGCACCCCTTCATTTCTTGACATTTTTGGATTTTTACCAAGAGCTGGAAACCACCAAATTGTGGTTCAGGAGCAACAGAGAAGACCACCCTCATGTCTTTAAGAGCCAGGTAGCTCGAAAGAAGTTGCCATTGTATATTTGCAAGGAACTCTGGCCACTTTGAGGTCGGACCACTCCCCTGTGTTCAGAGATCATTGTGACGCTTTTAGATCCCTGTTGGATCATCTCATTCTCAGCTGCACCAAGCCGGATGAGCAGCAACTCATCAAATACCTCCTAGAGGTCCAGATCCTTGCCGATTCTATTTATGATGTTGTCTTTTGAACTCATGCCAGCATAGTTGAAGATTTTTGTGCCTCAGACCGAGCCAGAGCGGAGCTTTGAGTGGTGCCCTAAAGTTTCTTTGCCAAAGTTTGACAATGGAGTTCGACAGACTTGCAGTTACCAGCATGTGCCTTTTGTTTTGCCTCAAAGCTAAGTAATCGCACTCAATAGGCTCAAAATATGGATTCGGAGAATGCTCTCCCCGATCAGGGCACTCCATTGCCGTTGCCATGCGACATAGACCGTCATGGGCATGCATACCCAGAAGGGTCTCCTAGCCAGCCTGGAGGCCTAGACACGTCAAGTCTTGATGGCTCCCTTGTAGAGCAGTCCAATGTGGGCAACCTTTTTGGAGAGGAGACACCTTGGCCCGTCTCGGATGGGGAAGCAGCAATGGGGGGCTCACACGTCGCTGAACAGGACGAGCCCCCGCATGACGATGTGTTGACAGACCAGGACAGGGCCACTTTAGATGCAATGGTGCATCAAGCTATGCTTGGCGCTTCACTGCAAGATGGTCTCTCGCTGCCGTGGGAGACAGGAATTATGGCCACCATTTTCGGGGACGCCCCACTCGTCACCCTACCAGAAGTCCCGCAAGTTGCTCATTCAATTGATCCTGCCAATATAGAGCCGGCTGTAGCAGAAACACACACCAAGAGAGCCAGGACCGATGCCTTCACTTGCAGGCTCTACGAACGGGCCATAGCCTTCCGCAACACCCTCTCGGATTTAGAGATGGATCATGCCAAATGGAACAAGGCTCTTGAGAAGCTTTACACTGTGATGGTGTCAGGCCCAAGCAGTTGCCCATCAGGGGTCAAATTTGACCCGCTTGACATGGACAGGAACTTGCAGCAGATACGAGTGTTGTGCGGAGCCAGGAGCCCCAACACCATCTCCAAACGTGCAAACAGCTTGCTCCAATTCTGTTTGTGGCATCGTGGCTTCTACTACAGGAAGCATCCCATACCTTTTGAACAAGGTGTGATAGCGGACTATGTTTGGGAAAAGCACCAAGATGGCATGACTTACAGTGGTCTAGAATCTTTTGTGGAAGCGGTGAACTTTGGCACGTACGTGCTTGGGCTACCAGTTTTAGATCCCAGTGTCCCTATATATAATGTCGCGCCCAAAACATCCCAAAAATTCCCAAAAGTGACCAGACAAACTCCCTAACGTTGCCTCTGAAACCTTCGAAAAAAAACAATTTTTTGGCTGCCTTTGCGGTAGCTTTCCTGTCGCTTTGAAACTTTCAACCTTGCAACTTTGCAACGTGCAACAGCTCTACTGATGGACACCACTCGAAAGGCTGAAACACCACCTAATTTCCCGCCCAAAGCATCCCACAAGTGACCAGAAAAAGTCCCCAACGTCGCTTCTGAAACCCTATAGAAAAAAACATTTTTTTCGCTGCCTTTGGTGTAGCTTTCCTGTCGCTTTGCAGCCTTCAACCTTGCAACATTGCAACGCGCAACAGCTCTACTGATGGACACCACTCGAAACGGTGAAACTCCACCTAATTTCGCGCCCAAAACATCCCAAACATGACCAGAAAAACTCCCTAACGTCGCTTCTGAAACCCTAGAAAAGAACAATTTTTTCGCTGCCTTTGGCGTAGCTTTCCTGTCGCTTTGCAGCCTTCAACCTTGCAACTTTGCAACGCGCAACAGCTCTACTGATGGACACCACTCGAAACGGTGAAACACCACCTAATTTCGCACCCAAAACATCCCAAAAGTGACCAGAAAAACTCCCTAACGTCGCTTCTGAAACCCTAGAAAAAAACATTTTTTTCGCTGCCTTTGGCGTAGCTTTCCTGTCGCTTTGAAGCCTTCAACCCTGCAACTTTGCAACGCGCAACAGCTCTACTGATGGACACCACTCGAAACGGTGAAACTCCACCTAATTTCGCGCCCAAAACATCCCAAAAGCGACTAGAAAAACTCCCTAACGTCGCTTCTGAAACCCTAGAAAAAAACATTTTTTTTTTTCGCTGCCTTTGGCGTAGCTTTCCTGTCGCTTTGAAGCCCTCAACCTTGCAACTTTGCAACGCGCAACAGCTCTCCCGCCAATCACAAAGGGCATGGCTTTCTGGCACATGCACAACAGCAAAGCACCACCTAATTTCGTGCCTAAAACGTCGTAGCAAAGGAACGCAGCAGCAACAGCAAAAGAAAGCAGCAACAGCAGGAAAACACCATGCCCCATTATTCTTGTTGTTGTTGTTGTTGTTGTTGTGGTTGTTGTCGTTGCTGTTGCTGTGCAACCTCTCTTCCCTAACGCGCTCCCCCTTGCTGTCGGCCGGGGTCGGCGGATTCTGCTGCTAGATTGCTGTTCTTGCTGTTCCTGCTGCTGTGTTGCAGCTGGAGCTGCAGCTGCAGCTGCCGCTGCTGGTGCTGTCGTCCGCTGATGCTGCTGCTGCTGCTCTTGCGCAACTTGCTTGTCTTATTCCCTGGCGCGCTCCCCCTTGCGTCTGCCGGGGTCGGCGGATATTATACATATATTATACATATATACATATATTTTACATATATACATATATTATACATATATATATATTATACATATATATATATATTATACATATATATATATATTATATATATATTATATATATAATATATGAGTACCTGTCTATATATATATAAGTACGTACATAGGTATATATTTACACATGTATATGTACATATATATATATATTGATGTATATAAATGTTTATTACATATATGTTTCTATATATATATATACATTTAAGTTTACACACATATATATATATATAGTATGTATGTATGTATGTCTGTCTGCCTGTCTGTATGTATATGTATATGTGTGTGTGTATGTGTATGGGTATGGGTATGCGTATGTGTACGTGTATGTGTATGTAAGTGCATGTATGTGTATGTATGTGTATGTATGTGTATGTATGTATATGTTTGTATATGTATATGTCTATGTATATGTATATGTATATGTATATGTATATGTATATGTATATGTATGTAAATGTTATATACCAGGACGTTCTAAGGGGTGCTTATTAGCATCATGAAAATTGAGATGCGTCAGGGGTGCTTACTAGACACCCCTTAAAGTTCATGGAGATGGCACACCAGAAAAACATGACTTCCAATCCTACATGCAAATTTTTTTGACAATGGTCCCGCAGGTAACCAAAGCTTTATCGAAAACATTTACCTTTGTTTCCTCAGGAATTGCTTTCTGAATTGACTGTCAAACTTTCGTGTATTGACAAGGCCCCGAACCTTTTTTTCTCCCATGTTTTCGAAAGTAATGTGTGAGATGCTATTGTATGCAGGATGTCTTAAGGAAGAATTTTGCCACGTTTTCAAAACTAACCAAAATCGACCCGAAATGACACGCATACATAGGTGGTCTCCAAAAAACATCCGACACGTGTCTAAGGGGCGCTTATTAGGTACCCGTTTGGCTAAGGGGTGCTTTATAGATGCCACTACTGACCCACACGACACGCCCACGACACGGATTGACTCGCAGGTTTTTTTGATTTCTCAAAAAATATAATGGCAGAAAAACAAAAGACAAAAGAAAAGAAAGTGGAGAATCAGGACCAATGTGGTTGGATTGGAGGACAACTTGAAGATTTGAAGAATCGAATCCATCGCCTTCATTTACGAAAAATAATCAACATCTTGGGGCAGTGCTTCTATGTTACATTGCTGTCAACAAGACTCCTTGTATTGCTTGGAGAAAAGTCGCACCTAGAAGCAATGGTGGTGAAATCATGTCAACATGTACGAATACCTCATTATTTGTTTAGTTCAGGACCTGAAAAATTAAGGGGTGCCTGATACTTACTCCCCTTATCCTCCCTTAAGGGGCACTTTATAGGCACCTGTTAGGACATGCTGGTATGTATTATACATATATACATATATACATATATTATACTGATACATATCTATATATATATACTATACATATATATATATTATACATATATATATATATGAGTATCTGTCTATATATATATATAAGTACGTACATAGGTATATATTTACACATGTATATGTACATATATATATATATTGATGTATATAAATGTTTATTACATATATGTTTCTATATATATATATACATTTAAGTTTACACATATATATATATAGTATGTATGTATGTCTGTCTGTCTGTATGTATATGTATATATATGTGTGTGTGTGTATGTGTATGGGTATGGGTATGCGTATGTGTACGTGTATGTGTATGTAAGTGCATGTATGTGTATGTATGTGTATGTATGTGTATGTATGTATATGTATGTATATGTTTGTATATGTATGTCTATGTATGTATATGTATATGTATATGTATATGTATATGTATATGTATATGTATATGTATATGTATATGTATATATATGTATATGTATATGTATATGTATATGTATATGTATATGTATACGTATATATATATATATGTATATGTATATGTATATGTATATGTATACGTATATGTATACGTATATATGTATATGTATACGTATACGTATACGTATACGTATACGTGTACGTATATCTATATGTATATGTATATGTATATGTATATGTATATGTATATGTATATGTATATGTATGTAAATGTTATATACCAGGACGTTCTAAGGGGTGCTTATTAGCATCATGAAAATTGAGATGCGTCAGGGGTGCTTACTAGACACCCCTTAAAGTTCATGGAGATGGCACACCAGAAAAACATGACTTCCAATCCTACATGCAAGATTTTTTGACAATGGCCCCGCAGGTAACCAAGGCTTTATCGAAAACATTTACCTTTGTTTCCTCAGGAATTGCTTTCTGAATTGACTGTCAAACTTTCGTGTATTGACAAGGCCCCGAACCTTTTTTTCTCCCATGTTTTCGAAAGTAATGTGTGAGATGCTATTGTATGCAGGATGTCTTAAGGAAGAATTTTGCCACGTTTTCAAAACTAACCAAAATCGACCCGAAATGACACGCATACATAGGTGGTCTCCAAAAAACATCCGACACGTGTCTAAGGGGCGCTTATTAGGTACCCGTTTGGCTAAGGGGTGCTTTATAGATGCCACTACTGACCCACACGACACGCCCACGACACGGATTGACTCGCAGGTTTTTTTGATTTCTCAAAAAAAATAATGGCAGAAAAACAGAAGACAAAAGAAAAGAAAGTGGAGAATCAGGACCAATGTGGTTGGATTGGAGGACAACTTGAAGATTTGAAGAATCGAATCCATCGCCTTCATTTCCGAAAAACAATCAACGTCTTGGGGCAGTGCTTCTATGTTACATTGCTGTCAACAAGACTCCTTGTATTGCTTGGAGAAAAGTCGCACCTAGAAGCAATGGTGGTGAAATCATGTCAACATGTACGAATACCTCATTATTTGTTTAGTTCAGGACCTGAAAAATTAAGGGGTGCCTGATACTTACTCCCCTTATCCTCCCTTAAGGGGCACTTTATAGGCACCTGTTAGGACATGCTGGTATGTACATACATACTATAAATATACATATGCTGAAATTATGCCATGAACCTCAATTTCGTTTTGAAATTTCTTTGGCCTCAGATCATGCTCATCAGCTCCAATCATTCTGCGAATATCCTTAAGACGCCACAGTGACAGGATGCTCCTGTTCTTGCCAAAGATGTGCCGAAAGATGGAAGCCTATGCGGTACCACCTGCTCATTTTTCCCTTTTCATGTCTTCGATTCTTTGTGTATTTGTTTGGTCATATTGGGCATCATGGACTCAATTCAGGGTTTGCAGTCTCGCGGAGCAGCTCCTGATAAGAATACATACCGGCTGAATGCCACTGCCTCAATTGTCTCGCCAAATGCTTGATGAGCATAGAGAGTTTTACAGACTCTTTTATCCAGCCCTTCTTTTTGAACTCTGCTGAGGCCTCAGTTAGAGCTTTCGAGAAGGCGGTGAAGAACGGAGACAAGAAAGCAGCGCTTGAGGCTAGGCTCCTGATCTTTGCTGTCACAAATCAGCTGAGA